TGATATAAAACTGAAAGTGAACCAATATCAACGTGCATCTATGTACACCGCAAGCATGGAACAACAGTTGTATATGTAGCTGAAAACGGCAAAACTTTACTTTTAGCCCCTCATCTTGTTAAGTTTGAACGTTTTTAACTCATTACTTTATATTATGATATTCTAACCCCTTACCCTACTATATTTATAAGTTTTAGTCTCTCACCTTGTATTAGTATACTTTTAGCCCCTCACCTATTAAAATTAAAGAAAATAACCCTCATTTTGTAATATTTTGTTAATTCTGTTAACTAATTGTTAACTCTATTAACTAACTGTTAGTTGTTTAAAATTTTTTTTCAACTAATAAAGTTAAAAAAATTAATTTTATAATATTTCGTTAATTTTGTTAATTGACTATTAATTGATAAAAATCTACTTTCAGCTAACAGAATTAATATTCAATTTAAATTAAGAGTTATTTTTTTCAATTTTAATAAGTGAGAGGCTAAAACCTACAAATCTAATAAGATAAAAGACTAAAAATATTATAATATAAGATGAGAGACTAAAATCTTCAAACTTAATAAGGTGAGGGGTTCAAAGTTGATTTTTGCCACCGAAAACAGGATTCCTTGGATGTCATACACCTCAGAAGTCATAACAACCGTTCATAGTTTGTTTCCGCGTGGCAGAAATATGATGGAATGTCTTGTAATAACCATTTACCATACAATTTAAAAGATGAATCTACCCATGAGTGAACATTATTTTAGAAGTTAAATTTATAATTTAACTTTTAAAATTAATATTTAAAAATATTAATTTTTTAAAATACATTAAATCAAAATATTAAGAGTGTGCCTTTAAAATCAAGAACTAACTTCAACATGTGCAAAAATTTATCTAAGAATATCCTCACAGTAAATAAAAATATAATAATAAGTGTTCCATCATAAAAGAAAGTAATGACTCCTAGTCCTGGAATATTTTGCTCTGCTCTGATTCTGACCCATTCATGTTTCAGAATTCAATCATGGGGGCTTCCAGCATTCTGGAATCAAGTTTAGAACACTGAATTCATAACACAGCCCTCGGGTCAATTAACTGGGCACAAGGTTTTATACAACATATTGATGTTACACTACATCTTCAATGAGTTAACAGGTAGTCAACCATTTGTTATCAGCCCTACAATATAATTACAGGTTTCATCTTACATTTCCTGGTTCTGTTCCTCACTTTGTTGGAGTTGGATATGGCGACAGGGTCTTATTGGTTCTCCTCTTGTCCACAGAATTTTCAGCTCACCCCTCTTTTTTCCTAAAGTCAGAAAAGTTCCTGCATCAAATCAGGGAATGAGATATGATCATATGATTCAAGCTGGATGCCCAAAACATGGTTTTCAGAGATATTTTAGGTGTTCAGTAACCAAGATTACCTAGTGTAAATGGGACAATGTACAGCAGCGCTGGTTGACCATGTCCATCCATCAAGTTCAGTGCAACATATGTAATAAGAAGACCTGCCATGGATTAGAAAGGAGACAAGAATGAATTCTGTCAATCACAAAAACTCAGAATTGCAAATCTGGCAATAAAATGAAAGTAAAATTGTCTTTTAATGGTCACATTTGCTTATAATGACCATATAAATGTCCTCATTGTCAGTAAATAACACGAGAAGTTGATCCATTTAACATCCCTTACCCAATCCATAAGCAAACATTGCCCACAAGAAGTACCCAGCTCTAAGAGTCTTATTAGCCAACCAATCATATCTGCAAGCACAACCGAAGGTTTGAGTAAAGCACCATTTTTTTATGGATTAATTATTAATGAACTTGCTAATTTCAGAAGCAAAACCCAACAAAAAAAAAAAAAAAAGGTGGCAACTGATGAGTAAGCAAGCTTCTATATGCAAAAGCACCAACAGGAACAAAAAACAGGATAAATGAAGAGTTGCAGAAATGAACCTGAGTGAAAATGCTATCAGCAGTCCAGGTAAGAGGATGTCCCCAAATCCTATAATACTGTAGCCACCCCATGGATCAAACATGCGTGGGATTTTTAGTAACATAGGAATGCCATCCTCTCCAGTTTTATCACCACGAGCTACCTGTGAAATAGACATCAGCAATTGGTATTTACTTCAATCATTTATATGCCTTCACAGTCTAAATGAAAAGGTAGTCATGATCGGGGACAGACTAGATTAGATGGGTTACATACCGAAATCATCACACTTTCATGGTAGAACTTCTTTGAAATGAACACCCAAAATATGTCATATAAGAAGGCACAACAGAGAAGAACCGTACCCACCTGAGTCAAAACCACTTAGATGTGTCAAAGGATTAACTTGACAGCAAGCCTAACATAACCACTCTGTCATTAAGCAAATAAGAATGACAGACTACCTTGAGATTAGGTACGTGGACAATTTGCAGAACCGTGATCATCAATGAAATTCCCTGGTTTAGGAGAAAAAAAAAAAAACAAAAAAGAAAAGAAAGAAAAGAAAATATAACTGTAACTTTAATTGAATTCTGCCAAGTCAGGTTTTAATGCCATCTCCAGGGGAAAAAAAAAATTGTATAGTTAAACTCAATACTACATGTATCCATAGTAGCATAATAAGAAAGGAAATTGTATATGGAGTACCATGTAAATATTTCATCTCATTCACAGTATGCATCCTATTCCTATGTTGATGAAGCCATAGATGATTACGGATAGAAACCATTGTGCATATTAAAATCCATTGGAAAGAATATCCTTACTAGTATGTCTTGACCTATCCAACCAAAGGGGTCATTGCGTTTAATAGCCCAAACAACAGCAGCTGCTATGCAGAATGGAGAAACAGCCAGAGTAAGGTGTGAAACAGCTCCTAAGACAGGTACTTTAATGTATGACCCTCCAGCACGCTTGAACCACCTGTAAAAATGAAAACTTAATTGTCAACCAAGAAAAAATACATTAATTCACTTAAAATAAAATGCTTTAAAGCAGGACAGCTCATATAAACAATCTAATAGGGAAGGCCCATTAATAGACAACCACTCAGCAAAATTCACCATCGCTTCAATTTGGAAGCTGTAAGTTTAGCCCCCCTAGAGTTTGTATAAAACAGAAGTGCACGTCTCTGACCAGCTTATTATAATAATCATGTGAAAAGCTCACAAGTGGATATATGATTAATCTTTTCACAAGATGTTGAGATTCCTATATTGATAATAGAGCACATACAAGAATACCTTGATAACAAAGCAACCAAGCAAGTTTGCAATCCCTGCATGCAGAAGATATTTAAGAGTCAGAAATACTATCACTTCATTAAATTTCAAGAGCATCGAGTTATTTGTTAATAGATAATTAGATATAGAAAAATATTTTGTGGTTTATACATCTATGATGGAATGCCATGTATAGACATAATGCTTAAGAGGTTAAAGAATGTTATACCTCCACACCTCCTACACAGAAAAGAACCACCAAAACCTCAACAAACTTAGAGTTAATATATTTGTATAGCACAGCCAAGAAGCAAGAAGCAAGAACAATAAAGAGGATTGCTGATATTGTATTGATCTCCATGACACCTCCAGTGCCTAATAGTTTTTCATTTGGAATATCCTCTACAGCATCCTGCAAGAGTAAGATAAATTAGAAATAAAGATATTTAGGCAGTTATTGGAAGAATGTGGTTCTAGAGAAAATATTGAGCTAAGCATAATTTATCTAGACTAACAAGTGACCTTTAACAATTTGTCCTGTTCAATAGCTGCCTCTCTTGCAGACCATGCGGACCAGTAAGAAGCACATATGATGGTACCAACTGCTATCAACCATAGAAACACTTCAGCTACATCAACTGCTGGTCTCCCTGGTGAGTAAAGGTGCACAGACACTACAGAAATTGGAAGGTATAAGAAAAAGATTTCAAACATGTATTAGTAGGAAAGTTATATTCCATAATACAATTGAATCACATTAGTTGTCAGAGACTGGAAAAGCTTACCTGATAAACCATTTAGTAGTTTTTCCTCCAAGCTTGCACCAGCATCTTTTGGAAGCAAGACAGCAGGTATTTTTATAACTAGATCAGTTTCGTTTGGTTCACAAACCATCTTGTAAAGTTCTGCACAGAGGAAAGATGATATTTTATCCAAGATGCAAACCATGATCTTTAGCAAAATATATATCCCTATCTCTTCTGGATATTACTATGAAAATGTTTGTGTTAAAAATGTCAACTTCTTTTTTTACAAGTAGCATGAGAAGACCACTTCGAGCAATTATCAAGAAAGCACCTGCACCCCAGAGCTCTCCCAATTTACAGGTGTTCCCACCATCTAATAATAATAGATATGCCAATCACCTTTCTGGTTATTTATAATGAGAACGGCTGATGCATGAGCATCCTCAGCATAATTTGTCTTAGCCGTGAATGTGCAATTGCCCCGGTCCACCATGAAGACATCTCCAGAACCCTAAAAAAGTTCAAATTATAAATCGGTATTAATAGATGCCTGAACTTGTGGAATGTCTAGAGTACATTGATGAATAAAAATACAAGTGAACCTCATTTTTTGGTTTACTACAGCAATCACGAGGATCAGAAAGAGTAAGGGGAGTTCCGCTTGCATTCTTCTCCTTTGAAAATGTGGTAGTGCCAAATCTGGCACCCACGCCAACAAATTCTTCATACTCGCTACCATTAACCCAAGTTTGAACTTTGACCTAGCAAAATAAATTACTAGTACTGGTTAAATTTTATAAACAAAAAACCATAAAACTGAACAAGATCAAACATATCATGCAAAACAATCTTAAGGATCTAACCAAAATTACTCCTATACATAAAAGAACATAAAAAGTTCCTTCTTTAAAAAGGGCTGGACTAATAAAGGAGATATATTTCACAGGAAATCAGGAGCTGCCTTCAACTAACAACCCAACTAATTATATACCAAAGTCTAGTTAATCGAAAATCTTCAACCACCTAAAAATCCTACTTCAAGACTTCCATGCTCCATTCTTTGGACTTTGGATGGGTAAGCTTTAAACGCCGGTTTACACAGTAAATTTTAGCAAAGAGAAAAACTTGAAGGCAGCCACAACTGAAAAGTCAGAGAAACAAGAAGATGGTGTAGTAAAAGAGAAAAAAAGGTAGGCGTTTGATGATACCAGAACGAATTCGTTCGCACAACCGGGCTTCTTGGGAGCATTTTCGTCATCTTGGCGTATATCACCGGCTATCGCAGTAGATGGACAACAGGCCAGCGAAATCGCAGCTGTAAAAAGGATTACCCAGAAAATTCGGCGCAAATCCATGATGGGTTTTTGCTTCAAGAGCTCGTTCCTGATGCACCCTTTTGTGTCCCCTTTCCTTGCATCACAATTTTCAGGAACACAAGATAACGAGCTTCTCTGTTTGCTCTTACTTTCCTATTTGTTCTGGTCTTGATGATGCAGGGTTGCTTTTATTTTAAGGTTAAACCCCAATTTAGACCCTTAATTATTGTATTAATCTTTAATTTAGTTTCTAAATTAAAATAATTTTTTATTTGATCCTTACTATTTATTAATTTGACATTAAATTGGCCATTTGTATAAAAATAGATAATATATCTTATTATTAACATGATATGTGATAGTAAAATAACTGTTTTTTGATATTAAATAAGGCTTAATTCAATTTTTAGCCTATTAACTATCACCTTGATTTCATTTTAGTCTAAAAATTATATTTTATTTCTAAGTGTTCTATTAACTTTCACATTCATTTCAATTTCTTCTACTTGATCAAAGATAACAGAAAAGTTACTAATATGTTAGAAAACAGTTAGTCCTTTGACTATATTTTTTTGATCTTTTAGTCATTAAATTTATATTTGTTATAAAAATAACTTTTTTACTTAAAATTATTATTTATAGGCTTTGATACCATATTTTTATACTTAAAATTATTATTTCTAAGTGGCCTATTAATTTTCAGGCTCTAATACCAAATTAAAGAAATAAGAAAACCCATATAAAAATTTGGTATTAGAACTTATAAATAATAATTTTAAGTAAAAAAGTTATTTTTGTAACAAATATAAATTTAAGGACTAAAAAATAAAAAAATATAGTTAAATGACTAACTGTTCTCTAATAAGAAGTTTTCCATTGACCAAATAAACGAAATTAAAATGAATCTAAAAGTTAATAGACTATTTAGAAATAAAATATTATTTCTAAACTAAAATGAAATCAAGGTGATAGTTAATAAACTAAAAATTAAATTAAGCCCATTAAATAATGAATACATCAACTATTTTTAATGGAAAAGTTAATTTTGGGTAATTAATAAATAATAAAGATCAAATCAGAGTTTTTTTAGTTTAAGGATCAAATTAAAGGTCAATTAATAATTGAGGGATCAAATTGAAAGTTTAATCTTATTTTAATTTAACCCAAAAAAAAAAAACAAGAAAATAGTTAAAAATGCCAGAAATTTAGACTTGAGCCCAACTGAAGTCCAAATCTACGTCGGCTTAAAGGAAGTCAGAGACACTGAGTCTGACGTTTTACCGACGCAAATCGGGGATTCGACGACGTCAATTAGAACCCCTAATGAGATTCCTACCTATCCCCATTTTTTTATCTCTAGGTTTTAACTACTACAGCGTGTAAAGGGAGAAAATTGCTTTGAAGGTCCAAAGAAGCAAAGGAAGTTACGTTAGAACTTAGAACATGTCCAAAGCTATGACTTCATTGTTGAATTTGGTTGCCCTACGAAAACAATACTCTTTCGGTTCACTTTTAGTAATTTTAATTTAATTTTTTAATTTTAATAAATATTTTAAATAACACTTTAATAATTCATATGGATATAATTTAAAATTTTTAATAAATATTTTTATTTGACCAATGAAATTTTTAATTATTATTTATACCATATATAAATTTTTACGAAGAAAAAAAAAAAAAGGCTTTGAACCTTGAATTGAACTGTTTAGCATTAAAAAAAAAAAAACCAGAGAAAGAGACTTATAACTTAAGCCCAAGAGTTATGGGCTAAAAAAAACACTTAAAACTTAGCGAAGACAAAGAGATCCAACGTTAGGGCCCAACAATTAAAGCGCCAGGGAAATAAGGGACTTCAAATCCATTTCTGTTTATTCTTTTGCACGATCATCTATACATATTTACTCCTTGTTTAGAAGGATAAATGGGCGACCCAATTTATCTTAGTTTTTTTCTTTTTTTTTTTTTTTTTTTTGTTTGGTGCAACTCAATATCTTAATTATGGATAATTTAATCCTTCTTTCCATGTGTCTAAGGAGGAAATCAATTGTAGGGCTCTTCATAATCTTCTTTATAAGGTAAAGTGCTTTCAAATATATGTATGATATTTATATAAATATTGGTCTCTAATATATATTTTGGTTTCATTATACAATATTAAAAGTTTGAAGTGGTTAACAACTTGGGATTCTAAATTAAAAGTTTCAAATTCAAATTTTAAAATGGATACGAAGGAATTAAGGAAGGACAATCTCAATTGTATAATTTGTGATTTGATGTATCAAAAAAACATTTGTATCATTTCATCTGGTGTGTCGTATATGTTCACTTTCTTAAAATTGTGTGGGCTGTTGATGGGAGTTGCAGCCTATCTTTCAAAAAGGAGTGAGACTGCTAAGGCTTTTGAGCCACTTGAACCTTCTCAGCTTTCCAAGTATTTTGAACCTTCTAAGTCTGGAAAGCTCATCATTGAGATACTGAAGCAGTGGAACACACTAACAATGTTGTCAGAAGCCATACATGAGATTACGAAAACTCCAGAACTGAAAAGCATACGTGAGCTTAAGAAGAAAAGCTCAGAACTTAAAAGTAAATTGCATGCCATAGAGATCTTCAATATTGTCCTGGAAGGTGGGGAATTGCCAAAGGAAATTCAACAGGCAATGCAAAATGTAATTCAGCAAGTAGTCCAGAGTGCAGTTCAGAAGGCAGTCCAGAATGCAGTTCATACGAGTATTGTGTCTACTTTTGTAGAAAACAAAGTTCCTTTGCAGAACAATCCATGTGAGCCTAGGTTTGCGGAACCAGGAGTTGGCCTGCAGGTGGTCGTATTGAAAAATGTGGAAGGGCCAAACATTGTTTTTAGGTGATACAATGATCCATACACAAAGAGAGTCAATGGAATTATGGAAGGTTCAGAACATCAGAACACTCAGTTAATTTGAAGCCGTTCATAAACTGATTCTCATTGACATTCTTCTAGTGCTTTGAGGACGAGAAGCTGATCTTTCGGCTTAGATCGTTTCAATTGGTATAAGAATGGTCACCACTCAGAGGTATGCTAATCATGGCTAGTGAGTCTAGTTCTGATTGCACATCCTTGAATCCCACAATCAATGGTACTTATGAGTGGATTTGATAAATAAGTGGTGTGGTATATAAGTTTGATTATCAACCACTACTAATGATTAAAGTTTGAGCATTTGAGGGGTGAACTTTGGCCCGGATTGCTTGGACTTAATAGAACTTTTCCCATTGTGTCCAGTTCTTACTCGGAGGAGTTTTTTATTACTAGTATTGAGTATGAATAATGTGCCTTTGACTTTGCAGAGGGAAGTTTGATGAGTATAGGTACGCATTGAGCCTGTTTTCTTGCCCTTTTGTGATACAAAGATAAAAAGGCAAGGCCAAATCTTTTATTTTAGGTAAAGATGTGAATTCCTACTTTGAATATGTGATTTTTTTTCCCTAGTGGATCCAATGTCTTTTTCCTCTTGTTTTCTTGTCTCTACTTGACTTTTTCTACAGGTCTTCATGGATAAGAAATTCTTTCATTTCCACTCACTCTTAAGTCCAAGAATTAGAATTTTTTTCATTATCTATTATTACTTTTGTTACTTGATATGATGAAATGAAAGGAAATTGGGTCCCAATTGGATCCTCTTGTTCAATGTAACTAGGCTTTCTTTTTTGAAAATAGGCAATGTCTAACTATGCTTTTTTTGTGCTTCCTTCTTGGTGTCTCCTCAATTGTCTTGGACCATGTTGAACTTTCAACGTATTAGTGTGAATTTTTGCATTTACATCATGGCAAAGATAAGGAAATCAACAGAAGTTCTGATTGTGAATTACCACCACATTATTGACAAGACTACACAATTTCAGGGGTGCATGGTTCAATTTTTCTGCTAAAGGCAACAGAAACTATCTAGGAGGTTTATACAACTGAATCAAATACTAGCTAGTGAATCAGTCATAATTTTTCAACATTTCCAAGCAATTCTTTGTAGTGCTTGCTTTATCATCCCTTCTGATGCAACATTTGATCCTTTGTACTGCATTAAAAAGGCAAAAAAAAAAAAAAGTTAGGAATTGATACTGTTTCATTTCAATCAACAAAAGGTTCTGCATAAATTTTTATGTAGAGAACAAATAGAGGATTCCTGGATTCGTACCTTGGATTTTATAGTGATGGAGAGAATCCCTTCATCTGTAAATGACTGAACTGAGTGGCAATCTAAATGAAGATGACTCACTGCATCCATCATCTCAAACAATATTCCTTCCTTCCAAGGACACTTAATCTTGATTACAACATCGATATTGTTCACACTGACAATAATGTCATCGGTTGAACCATGTTTCATAGCAACATTGTCCATCTCTAGTTCAACTTCGTCAATAGTACAAGCCTTCCTTTTGTTTATTGAAGGCTTCTTCCCATTACTGATTCTATTATCACCGTAGTTATCAGATGTTCTCTCCACGCTATCCTGAGATTTTCTTTTCATTCTTGCTTCTGACTCTGATAAGTCTCTGAATGATTCCAGTTCTTCCACCTTTTTCTCCAGCTCTTGTAGGTATTCTATTGTGTCATCTAGTATAGATACTTGGTCAGCCTGCATAAATTAGACAAAAGATTAAATAAAGTACTAACCATGATAGAAAGGACCATGAAGGGAATGGAGATTTATTATCTACCTTGCTGATTGAAGGTACTAGTGATTTGAGAATAATGAACTGGTCATTTATTCTCTCCCTCTGCCTACTCTCTAGCAATAAATGGTTCATGCCAAGTTCATCAACCTCAGGCCTCCAAGCTGCATCTTTAACAGCATTACTTACAGGAGATTCAACCAACTCATGATCATGCATCCGAGGAACTTCAAACAAAATCTTCTTCAATATCTTCTGTGGGGTTCTATCTCTCGGTTTCAGAGACTTTACCAGTACACCTTTCTTCCAGCTTGCAAAGCTAGATTCCTTATTACAGTTCTGGAAATGTGGCCCCAGAATCAGCTGATGTGAGGCCTTAAAGAGGGATGACAGAACATTTTGATAGTGCAGATCATTGTTTTGAAGATCTAAACTAGTTAGTTTTGTCTGATTGTTCTCTTGAACTGCTTGCAGACAATTCTCGTGTTCTCTGTCAGACTTGGGAGGAACAACCACCTTTCCATCATCCACAAAGGTTTGAGATATACAATCACTAGAATTCAAGGAATGATGGACACAATTGCTGAAATCTTCTTCCATGAATTGCCAGCTTTGTGCCTGAGAAGGTGCATAATTCATTCCACGATCAACAATAAGGGAAACTCCTTCCAGTTGGTGAGGCTCAAATTCATCTGAACTGTTACTGTTGGAAGCCATTTCAAGTTGTTCACAGCTCACAAGTGGACTAAATTTGGTATCAAGTGCAATATGGGCAATATTATTGTCATTTGCTGTACTCCCAACACCAATATTGGATTTGTTCATTATAACATGGCATGGAATATCTAAGAATGATGTCTTGACATGCTTAATGAGGCCAAGGTCCTCCAACACCTTCAGAAAACAAATTACAGTATAGCAGCTACGATGAATAATGAAATGTAAGATCAGATTATAGGAAATGAAATTTGACACCAGTTACCAGTTCAGTTACACCCAGCTCGATCACACCTCCTAAAAATGGAAAGGATACAACAGTCTGAAAGCCAAAACAAGAAGGGTAATAACAACAACTAAAAAGTCAATGAGAATTCTTGAAATCTGTTTTAAATTCAAAGACAAATATTTTAGCCCAAAGAAGACTTTGTATCAATACCTGAATGGATGCACTCTGAGGAAGCCAATTGCACAAAGTTTCATCCATGGAAAATGGAAGTCAATTTTTAATACATCAGCCAATTAATCATAACTGCAGATGAAAGATTTAAGACCAGCAACCTACCTTCGCTAGCAGAGAGCGACTGAACACTTTACTATCTGCATTATGAGCATTGCAAAGCCAGAGTGGTTGACCATTGGCTAATGTTCTTCCTGGTAACCTGAAAACCACAATGATGAATCATTAATCGGAAACATTAACATATGAAACTTGAAATTGAAGATAAAGGAGGATGCTTTCAAGTATTACCCTTGCCCAATGTCGAACACAAATGACATGCACACTAAGTAATACCACTCAGTATCTGTGAGATCTTCAGGAGACAGTGCTGCAGAAGGTCTTCTAGCTTGTGGATTACTGTCACCAGCGGAAAGGGACTCATAAAGTTCTCTCAATTGCTCACTCCTCTGCAAACCCAGTCGGTCAGCATTGAGCTCTACTGCTTGAATTGTTTTCCTTGTCTTAATATCTCCATTGTAGTAACCTTCTCTCCACTCCAAAACCCTGAAGAGTTCACATCAGAGCAAAACCATGAATAGGCGAAAATGTTGGAATAATAAGCATAAAGGAGATTGTTTGAAAGTGACAGGAAAATTAATGAGCACATACTCCCATTTCAAACAAAGAATCCCAGAATCTTTTGCAGATTCAGAGTTCAAAAAAAGGAGAACTGAAGTTGATTGCGAACAAAATGTTAGTTAATTTAATTCCAAAAAAAGGAAAAGGAAAGCAGACATGGATAATTTATTACCCACCCTGGTTTTCTAGCTGAAATGGACCAGAATATTGCATAACTCCACTGGATGCTTCTCGCAGCAAAAGCAAGGTGCTTCTTCAAGTTCTCCGGAACTCTCTCTTGACTGTGCAGACCAGAAGCCATTCCCAAGATATCTAAGACCAAAAAGAACTATATACCCACCACCATCCAACCAGAGCAAAACCAAAAAATTCTCACTCTAATTTTGGGTTCTTCATTTACAAGAAAAGCAGCAACAAAATCCTACAAGAGCATCAACAAGAACATGAGTTTCTGCTCAATTTCATGATTCTTGCACTCCAAAACAAGAAACCCGCATGAGTTTTGTCTCTCCAGTGTTCCCGGGCCCCTTGAACAAAGTAAAAACAGAGCTCAAAGCTAACATATTTCTGTTAAGAGAAAGCTTAAACCTAATGATGGCTGCAGCTAGATGTATTTGAAGTTTGAAAACCAGAGAAAAATGGGTACACAGAAACTGCTGGGACTGATCATCATTTACAGACCAGCGGTCCAGACTCAGGACTAATATAGTAATTAACCTTATACAGAATCAGAACACTGACTTTGATGGATAAAGGGAAACGAAAAACCAGAGAAAAGATTAGTATATCCATGCAGTGTCCTAATTTTATATCAATAAAATGTTGGTACTTTGTTTATCAATGCTGAAAAAGCTTCAAACCAAGACGAGCCTCTTTTAACGGTGGGGAACACCAGCAGAGCAGAGTACTCTCACAGATATTCACACAAACACAAGGCAAGCATATTTTATTGTTTCTTGTTTTGGAGTTATCAAAAGATAAGAAAAGCCTAGCAAAGATCTTGGTTTTACTCTCTTACCCATAACACATACAGCAACACAAACAGACCACTTTCTTCTCTGAAGTGGGTGCAATAATTTCCCAGTACACCTCGAAAACCAGCTCAAACTAAGAACCAGTCTTTAAAAAAAGTAAACCCATTTTGAATCATACTCATATGAGCATAAAAAAAGGTGCTTTCATGGATCCAGAGAAAACCCAGAAGTAAAATATGCAGCGGTGGAGTAAATAATATCTAGAAGACAAGAACAGAATGAAAAAGATTCTTTCTTTTGGAGGTTTTGATGCAAAACACATAGAAAAAAGGAGAGAGAAAGGGGAGGGACGAGGTGGAAAATGCAGAGGTGACATAAACAATTTCTGCTGTGGGAACAGTGTTCCAATATGTTTCCTGTGGGTATGATTAGATGAAGAGATAATATAATTATAAAGAAAAATACAAGAATAATTATTAGAGGCGTGATCTTGCCGGGCCAACCAGAACACGCCCCAGGTACGAGTTTTCTTTTCTCTTTTTCCTTTTTTTTTTTTTTTTTTTTTTTTCTCCTAAACCAGGGAATTTCATTGATGATCACGGTTCTGCAAATTGTCCATGTACCTAATCTCAAGGTAGTCTGTCATTCTTATTTGCTTAATGACAGAGTGGTTATGTTAGGCTTGCTGTCAAGTTAATCCTTTGACACATCTAA